GAATAGCTAACCACAGGATAAAGCTCATCCTGGGAATAGCTTGTCCATACCAGATAAGCCTATACCAGTGTACCTCGGGGAATTGTGGCACAATCCAAGTCCAAGTTGATTGAGCTATGTAAATTCCATTAGCACTAGGCAACCATTTGACTTGATCAGTATGGAGGACATTTGGGGTATAGTTAGGCATTGTGCTACATATTTCATGCAAATCAGATGAGGTATGGTCTGGCCAATTCCAACTATCACCATCTATGATGCTCTCAACCATAGCAGTAGCTAGTAATGAAGATTCTTCAATAATTCTATGAGACCACTTTAGTAGCAAGGGTCCTTGAGGGTGCCAATTATCATGCTACAACTTAGTTGATCTCCAATCCCCAATAATGTGCTTGATTAAAGGTCTAACAACAGGTCTTAACTTCAAAATCTTTTTCCAAAACGAAACCTGAGGTGTTTTTAGCTCCCAGAAGCTTCTACCTTTTACATAAACAAATTTCACCTATTCAGCCCAAAGGTTATCTCCATCCTTGAACATGTACGATATATATCTAATCCTTAAGGCCTTATTTCAACTGTGCAAGTCCTTTAGTCCTAGGCCACCTTGTGCTTTAGTCTTGATAACAATCTCCCAGACAACTTTGCTCCCCTTATTTATGTTGTGTACCAGTCCACAAAAACCTGATGAGCTGCTCAATCCTCTTCAATACTACTTTAGGAATGACTAGATGACAAAGCTAGTAACTTTGTATGTTGTATAAGACTGCTTGAATTAGTTGGAGCCTCCCCGCAAAAGAGAGGGACTTATTTATCCAACTCCTAATCCTAGCCTCAGTTTTATCAATTAAAGTAGCAAAGTCACTCGGTCTAAGTTTGGAGGAAATAAGAGGCACTCCGGGGCACCTAATAGGTAGTGTTCCATCAACAAACCCCAAACATTGCTTATTTTGGCTTGTAACCTCATCTTGAATTCCAGCCATAAAGATGTGACTCTTCTCAACATTGGCCATCATACCTAAAAGATCCAACCTCTCCATAGCTGTCCCAAGAACAGACACAGAGAGTAAATTACCATGGCAGAAAAGTAGTAAGTCATCTGAAAAGCTAAGTTGTATAATGCCTTGTTTCTTGCACCTCCAGTGATATTTAAATCTAGTTGCAGCAGCCACTTTAGTCTTCATAATTTAAGTTAAAGCTTCCATAGCAATCACAAACTGATAGGGGGACATGGTATCCTCCTGCCTTAATCCTCTACAACTCGAAAAGAATCTCGTAAATTCCCAGTTGATTGAAATGGAGAACTTGGGAGTAGACATACAGGAGGTGATCCAATTAAGCATTACTTCAGGAAAGTTGTGCTGCCTTAGTACGTTAATTAGAAACTCCCAATCTAATATGTCATATGCCTTCATGAGGTCCACCTTGATGGCACATTTAGGGGAACCCCTATCGTTATGATCATCTCTCATAAGCTCCTGTGCAAGTATTACATTATCTCCAATTCTTCTTCCTGGAACAAAAGCAGCCTGGTTGATGCTTATGATATCAAGCAAGATAGTCTTAATTCTGTTTGCTATAATCTTGGAAACGATCTTATACAAGGTGTTGCAGCAAGATATGGGCCTGTAATCCCCTAACATTGTATGATTGGAATTTTTTGGACCAAAACAATATTGGTGTTATTGATCTCTCTTGGTAAGCTTCCAGACATGAAAAATTCTTGAACGGTCCTAGTAATGTCAGAACGAATAATGGGCCCAGCCTTCTTGAAAAAACACCCAATGTAACCATCAGGCCTTGGAGCCTTATTAGGATGTATAGAAAATACCACATCTTTGATTTCCTCCTCAGAAACACACCTAGACATTCTTGCTTCTTGGTCAAAAGAAATTCTTTTACTGTTTAACTTGCCAATTTTCTGAACTTTGTTCAAAGAGTTAAGTGAATATCCTCCCAAAAGAGTCTTATAATGGTCCACTGCCATCTGTTTTACTTGCTCAGGGTCATCAACCACATATCCATCCTGCTGAGTGATAGATAATATCTTGTTTTTTATTCCTTCTTGTAACCACAATCTTGAAAAAGAACCCAGTATTTTGGTCACCTTCTTTACACCATTGGATTCTTGCTTTCTGCCTTAAGAACTCTTCCTCAACTCTGGCTGCAGTAACATAGTTTAGAAGCAAGTCTTTCTCCTTAGATCTAAGAATAAGGTTCATAGACTGTTGATCAAGTTGCCTCTGTACTTGATCCAGCTCCTCTTTGGCAGCCTTAGCCTTCAGGGTAACATCTTCAATTTAGTTCTTCATCTTTTTGAACTCATGCTTCAAGAATTTCAATTTGGTGATCACTTGGAATTGCAAAGAACCTCTTACTGGTTGTTCCCATATCTTACTGTTTGCAAAAAATCCCCCCACTGGCAATAAAGTTGAAAATTTTAAAGGGACATCTCCTTTTCCTACTGCCACCAATCCTAACCACCATGGGGCTATGGTCAGAAACACCAGCAGTTAAAAATTCAGCTCTGGAGAGGATGAATTGAAAATTCCAAGTTTCATTGAGAAGTAAAATGCTTGGTCATTTAGCCTGTAAAGTTTGTGTGCTGCTATAAGTTTGCTTGTTGGTCCTTTTTGTGTTCGTGTGTGCGTTTTTGTAAGCATTTGAATGCATTGACTTAGATTAAGTGTCTGATCTCAGTGTTATCATGAGGAAAAATTTGAGTGAAAGTTTGACTCGTGTGACAGCTAAAGTAATTAGTGTGTTTACCACTTTATCCTGCGGTTGGCCAAGGGAGGTGGGTGAGAGAGAGAGAGAGAGAGAGAGAGAGAGAGAGAGAGAGAGAGAGAGAACCTAGATGGTCTAAACCACGACATACTGATAGCTATAAAAATTGACTAAGAAATAACCTCAATGGAACTCATGAAACTGAGATCTGTTAATAAAATAATAAAGGGTAAAGTGGAGAAAGATCACAACTTTCTGGGTAAATGATGTGTGAGAAATTAGAGGCATTGTGAGTCTTGGGACTTTGGGAGTGGGTTTGGGTTCCTTGGTGACCACCTCGTCAACTATTCCACCGACCTATAACAGAAGAAAAATGAAAAACACAAATTGAACAATATTAAAATTACGAAACGCACAAATTGATCATTACTAAAATTTACAAAAACCAAGTTCCATACAACAAATCAATTACAATTAAAAAAGGGGTTTGATTGGTGATGGGGGTCGCTGGGTAGTGAGGTAGAGAGAGAAGCGAGGATGTGATTGTCGTTGGTGGTGGCTGGGAAATGGTTGCATCACTGTTGGTAGTTATTGGCAGTGTCTAGGCAGCGGCACAGATAGAGAAGAGAGTGGAGAGCTAAGACAGAATCGAGAGAGAGAGATGTAGGAAACACAAAAAAAAAGATGAAGGGAGAGATTAGGGCAGACCATTAAGAGTGAGAAAGAGGAGATTTGGGGGAGAGAGAAAGGAAAGTAGAACATTCAAATTGAAATTGGAGAATTTGAAGAGTGATTTGGGGGAGAAATGGGACAAGAGGGAGAGGGAGAGGGAGAGGGAGAGAACATTATTTGGAATGTAAAATATGGGGGGATAGAAAATTAGGGCAAGATATAGCATGGTTGAGGTTGTGATTGAAATGAGTAAAAAAGAAAACTTTTGGGCAGAAAAAAAAAATTGTCTATCAATCTGATTCGCCATATGAGTATTTTTGAATTGATTTGAGCCACAAAAAATTAGAGATAAAATATACTTTTAAATTTAACCTATGTTTTGCTCATAATTGATTTAAACTGCAAAATACTTGAGATAAATTTTAGAATTTAAATTCAGTTCTACTTTATCATATAATATAAATCTACTCTTTAAGCCAAATGGAGTAATTATTATAAGATAATTTGTTAACAAAATCTAGAAAATGTCTCTAGTCATTACGTTGAACAACCGGTCTTTATTTGCACCAACACAATTATTATTGTTTCCACTTTTCATGCATTTATCATGATAGATTCGGCAGTTATTCCTTCTATTCTCAATCGTAATTTATTACCATAAGTATGGTGGCACCTTGTATTTTGCCCAAACCTCCCCTTTGTTAGACTAATGTTATGTTTATTAAATTTTATATTTTAAAATATTGTGAATGATTGAATTAGTGGAGTCCACTAATTTCATCAAACATTCATTACATCATTGAATATACAAAATTTAATAAATAAAATTGTATCCCCTTCTCAATTCCGATTTAACAGTAAATCAAGCTACATGTAAAAAATTATCCAATTCTTTTTCTCATTTGGATAATAAGACTATGGTCCTAAAAGACCTATTGCACCAAAAAAATGTAAGGTTTGAATTAAGTTAAGTTACTCAAAAAAAAAATTTTAAGTTACAATTTAAAAAATTATGGTCGATTATAATGTCATAATAAATTACAAAAGATCTAATTTTTAAAAATTAAATTATATTTAATGAAGGTTATTTATGACAATCATAATATTTTATTTTTATAAAATTTATAATTGATCACAAATTATCTACCTATAACTTAAATCTCAAAAAAGTAGTATCAGAAATTCAGCGTTACCCCTCTTTTTTATTTATTATTGTTTTTGCTGTGCAAACAAAAAAATCCAACTCAGCACCCAGCAGGCTGCTCAGGAGCCTCGGCCTAACGGTCAAATTTCAGCCTAACCCACCCTCTAAATCGATCAGACCTGTCCATATAACACACATCTCGAGGCATATCCACGTGGCCACACAATTCTTACGTTTCGAGAGGCTCCCCCTCGGCTTTTTTAAGTAGAACCTACTGTTTCTGCCTCCGTCTCCCTCTCCCTCTCTATGCAAACAGTTCTCTCTCTCTCTCTCTCTCTAAATTGCTAAAACATTCTCTAAATTGCTAAAACATTCCAAGGCTATATTCACTGTGCCCACAAAACAACTCTCCGTTTCTTAGTTTCTCTCTCGCTTCCTAAATTTCCTCTGTGTGTATTTTCAGACCAGTATGTGATACACCCGTTTTGGAGATTGAGCTAAAATGGCAGAGAATTGCAGTAGAAAGCTAATAGTTGAAATCTGCAACGCGAAGAATCTAATGCCAAAAGACGGCCAAGGAACAGCAAGCCCTTACGTGATCGTAGATTTCGACTGCCAAAGACGAAGAAGCAAGACCAAGTTCAGAGATCTGAACCCACAGTGGGACGAAAAGCTCGAGTTCTTAGTCCACAACACCGACGCCATGGTCTCTGAAACTCTCGAAATCAATCTCTACAACGACAAGAACACAGGTAAAAGAAACACCTTTCTTGGTAAAGTCAAGATCGCCGGAAGCACTTTTGTGAAAGCTGGTTCGGAGTCTTTGGTTTACTACCCTTTGGAAAAAAGGAGCGTTTTCTCGCAGATCAAAGGTGAGATCGGACTTAAGATTTGCTATGTCGACGAAGAGGCTTCGGCACCTCCACCAACTGAAGCGGCGGAGAAGTCAGAGACCCCGCCACCGCCTGTGGCGGAGGAAAAGCTATCGGAGAAAGAAGAGAAAAAAGAAGAGGAAAAACCAAAAGAGGAAGACAAAAAGGAGGAGGACAAATCGCCGGAGAATCCGAAACCGGAGGAGACTTCGACGACGGCGATACCTCCTCCTCCGTCACCGTCGGAGGTGGAAAAAATTCCTCCCATTGCACACGAAGAGCAATCGAAGCAGAAGAAGATGATGGTTTCCGAAAAGCAAACGAAAAATTCAGTAAATGAACTCGAAATTCGATCTCTATCTGGGGATCGAACTCGTTCTGCGTACGATCTAGTCGACCAAATGCCATTTCTATATGTACGAGTAGTGAAGGCGAAGATATCAAATCAGGAAGCTGAGACTTGTATATACGCAAAGCTTGTGATTGGGACTCACGGCATCAAAACGAAGACCCAAGGGGATATCCATAAAGATTGGGACCAAGTCTTCGCATTTGACAAAGAAGGTTTGAACTCGACTTTATTAGAGATCTCAGTCTGGGTTGAAAAGAAAGGTACGGAGAACAACAATACAGCAGAGAGTTGCTTAGGAACGGTGTCCTTTGACATGCTAGAGGTACCCCGGAGGGTACCACCGGACAGTCCATTGGCACCACAGTGGTATACACTTGAAGGGTCGCCGGAAAATTCGACGGCAAATGACGTCATGGTGGCGGTATGGATTGGTACGCAAGCTGATGAGGCTTTTCAGGAGGCTTGGCAGTCAGATTCCGGTGGGCTGATACCTGAGACCCGTGCCAAGGTTTATCTTTCTCCGAAACTCTGGTATTTGAGGGTAACGGTCATCCAAACCCAGGATTTGCAGCTAGGTTCGGTGTCCGAGCCAGAGGTTCGGAGTCATGAACTTTATGCGAAGGCTCAGCTTGGGGCTCAACTTTTCAAAACAAGCCGAACAATGGTCGGCTCGTCCAGTAGTTCTTCTAATCCCACATGGAATGAGGACTTAATTTTTGTGGCAGCCGAGCCGTTTGAGCCGTTTTTGGTAATTACAGTGGAGGATGCAACCAATGGACACTCTGTGGGCCATACTAAGGTGCACGTGGCAAGCATTGACAAGCGTACGGACGAGACATTAGAGCCAAGATCAAGATGGTTTAATTTGGTGGGCGATGAGAGCAAGCCCTATGCCGGGAGAATACATGTGAAAATGTGTTTAGAGGGAGGGTATCACGTGATTGACGAAGCTGCTCACGTGACCAGTGATGTTAGGGCAACAGCAAAACAACTGTCCAATTCACCTATTGGATTACTTGAATTGGGCATAAGAGGGGCAACTAATTTGCTGCCGGTTAAAACCAAGGACAGTACGCGCGGGACCACTGACGCCTATGTGGTGGCCAAGTATGGGCCCAAGTGGGTTCGAACCCGTACGATCCTTGATCAGTTTAATCCTCGGTGGAATGAGCAATACACTTGGGATGTATATGATCCATGCACCGTGCTTACAATAGGAGTATTTGATAATGGAAAATACACGCATCATGAAGCAGGAAAAAAAAATGTTCGATTGGGAAAGTTACGTGTAAGGTTATCAACGCTTGATACTAATCGGGTGTACATGGGATCACATTCTCTTACCGTGTTGCTTCCTAGTGGGGCGAAGAAAATGGGTGAGATTGAAATTGCAGTTAGATTTTCATGTTCATCGTGGCCTAGTCTAATTCAAGCATATGCTAGTCCTATTCTGCCTAAAATGCACTATGTACGCCCCCTAGGTCCAGCCCAACAAGATATATTACGGCATACGGCTACGAGGATAGTAGCTGCTCGGCTGGCCCGGTCCGAACCAGCTTTGGGCCAATATGTGGTCCACTTCATGTTGGACTCTGATACACACATGTGGAGCTTGAGGCGAAGCAAGGCCAATTGGTTCCGAGTGGTTGGGTGCTTATCAAGAGTAGCAACATTTGCACGGTGGCTCGATGGAATTCGAATGTGGGTGCACCCACCAACCACAATTTTAGTCCATCTGCTGCTTGTGGCTATTGTGTTATGTCCACACCTAGTGTTGCCTACTATTTCCATGTACGCCTTCTTGGTCATCACATTACGATTTCGATACCGCCAATGGGTCCCAATCAGCATGGACCCAAGATTATCGTATGTTGATAAAGTGGGTCTTGATGAGCTTGATGAAGAGTTTGATGAATTTCCAACCACTCGATCACCAGATCAAGTTTTTATCCGATATGATAGGCTACGAGCTCTAGCAGGAAGGGCCCAAACTCTATTGGGCGATGTGGCAGCCCAGGGGGAGAGACTAGAGGCGCTGTTTAATTGGAGAGACCCAAGGGCCACTGGAATGTTTTGTATAGTGTGCTTGTTTGCTTCGTTGGTGTTCTATGTTGTGCCCTTCAAGGTCTTTGTGTTGGGGTCTGGCTTCTTCTACCTGCGCCACCCAAGGTTCCGCGACAACATGCCCTCAGTGCCAATCAACTTTTTTCGTCGACTTCCACCCCTCTCCGATCAAATTCTATAAATTTTTTTCTAGCAGGGATTTTGGTGCACTTTCGTGGTGTACTAGTGGTTAAGTGGGGCTGGCTTTGATTTTGAATATTATTCATGATTTTGGTTTGAACCGAATAAGGAGTATTAACGTGGGCAGAAAGTTGGTGTTTGTGAGCCTTGAGTTTGCAAAAAGTGAGCGTTAATGACCGTTAATGTCTGTCGTGAAAGAATTTAAATTTCAACAAAGTGATCGTTGAATGAAAGGAGCGAGGAATGCATATGTTACAGGGGGATGAAGATATTATAACCACTGGTCCTTACTATGAATAGATTTATAGTGTATTTGTTATTTCAATGAATATATTCGACACTTAATAAATAAGTCCGTTTAATAATTAAAATTAAATCTCTTAATATGTTAAGTGTTCCTTAATTAAAAATAGGCTTAAATATGAGACCTTTTGCTTAATTCTAAAAAGGGCTTAAGAGGAATATTTTTTATAAGTGTTTTAAAATGATAATTTTACCTTCAAATATTTTACAATTCTATTAAAACTCTAATTAATATTTTCTCAAAAACACTTAATCTATCTACCTTTTTTGTCGTCTCTATCAAACCTCCAGATTTTAGAGACAATGCAGCAATACACATGAACACTACACAGTACGCACAAATACAGAGGCATTGCACTAAATCAAACCACCCCCTGACCCGATCAAGCTAACGGTCAAGGGCTTAAATTGTGGCAATTGTTCATCCGTCCGCCCATTTTATGATGGGTTCGAGTTTGATAATTATCATCTTAGAAAATGAGGGCAAGATTGCTTATGGTTTATTATTCACAGATCCTATTATAAAGAGGAGCTCGTACTCCAAAAACCACTTTTCTCCTCACTTATCAAATATAAGAATCTCAACAATTATAACTGACAAACCGAATATTGTGAGTTTATTTTATGGCTATATCATAATTTTTTATTAGATAAATGTATATTTTATAAATAATTTTAAAGTAAAAAAGTGAAAGTGTAAATCTGAAAAATAATTTATTCTCATACATTAGTTTTGTGTGTACTTATCAAATAGTTTGATTCAATTTAATACTTAGATTTTAGATACCAAAACGTTGACAAATTTAAATTTTAATATTTAGTACTAAAATTTAACATTTAATTTTCAGTGTTCGGTTTTTTGTTTGATCAAACAGCACCCTTATGACCAATATAAAAAAATTTTCTTTCGGGGAGGAAAAACAAAAAATATTCAATATACTTCAGTCACTAGCATGCAGGATTACATATCAAATGCGCGTGTGATATTTTTTCAACTATATTAAATATTTTAGTACTAATAATTGTTCGTGCCTAAAAGTACTATGTAACAAAAAAAAATATCGCAAGTAATTGCTTTTGTCTTAAGACACTATGCAACACAAAAATCTATAATAATAAAAATAAAAAATAAAAAATCATAGTGTACACGTACTTGGTTCGAATTCACTGTTAATTCCAATCAATCGCAATCCATGAGTTCATTGCAATTTTGATTTCTAGACTAACATAATATAGAACAAAATAAACGGCACCTAAGTTCTCATATAAAAAAGACAGATTGTGTTTGAATCCAACACAACAAACACCTATTGACCGTTTCTAAGTGAGTCAAATCAAATTTTTAATTACTAAAAGAGAACACAAAAAATCAAATTTTCAATTTCTAAAAGAGAACACAAAAGAATTACACTTTCCTTCACGTGATATCAAAGAAAGCTTGCATAAAGGCGTAGCAATATAAATGTAGAAATGCTATGCTCGTTCAATTAATAACAACTAATCCAATTTCATGACACTAAGCCTAACCAATTCACTTTTTATCAATTCAATGTTATTTTTTATCCTACTCACTTCGAAACAAATCACCAAAAAATTAGAAATTAATTCAAACTCAAATTAATAATCTATAATATAAAATATGATGACTTCAACAAACAAATTCAACGGCCTAAAATTTATTCTTTTAACGGCCATTAATACTTCTTTCATTCCCCCAAATTCATTTAACACTTATATTATTTTTCAAAAATCTTCTGCCGCCTTCCTGCATATTTTTTTTTGTGACTTTTTTCAAAATATCTATCCACTCAGTCCCTTCACCTGTCAGACAATCCATCTTTTGCCGCTTCCTGCATTTTTTTTTTTTCCTATCAGACAAGCCTTTCCCTGCATCTCCTTTTCTTCTTCTTTTTTTTTTCCCACTCTTTGTTACTCTCTCTCTCTCTCTCTCTGTTACACTCCAGCGATACCACCACCACCGCCACTTCGTCAGCAACACCACCACCATCACCGCCGCTGTTAACCTCTGCCATGTATGCCGTCTCTCTCTCTCTCTTTCCCACACACACACAAACACACATTAGCCTCCCATCGTACCCCCAACTCTTCTCTGCCCTCTTCTACTCAACATCACCCACACTTCTCTCGCTCATTTCTCTCTCACACACACAATCACATTGCACACACACCCACCCACAATGCACAATACACACATACACACTCATCACCCACACACACACAAAAATAAACCCAGCACACACACCCAACACAAATCCAGCACACACGCACCCACATTACACACATCGCTTACACACACAGAGAGCAGAAACAAACACCCACACCCACTCACCCACACACACATCACAAACTAACCCACCCACACCAAGTGTTTGTTGGAATGATCGAGAGAAATTGTGTACTCTACCATTAGTTATTATTATTATTATTATTAATTTCCTATGTACCTATGTTTTGGATATAATGTGTTGAATTTTAATTGATTCTTTCACTAAATTTTAATTTATTTACACTTTGTTTGATTTTTTTCAATTTTATGTTGGGTTAGCTTAGATTCAATCTAATGTGAATTTTATAATTAAATGCATTTTTGTGATTCGTCTGCAATGCATTTTTTGAGCAAGCCGTCAAATGCATTTTTGTTGTCCTGTGTATATGAATTTGATGTCCTAATAAACATGGTTACTTTTTGGATTTACATTGTTTGGATTGAATTTTGCATGATACATGTTGTAGTGAAACCCAAAACTAATTTGAAATGTAGGAATTTCTACTGAAAAATAACATCGTGGGTTTTTAGTTAGCCACAAGGAAGAAACTTGTTTCATATTGGCTGGATTAACTGAGTTGAATTTGGCATTATTGGACTAAGAGATGAGAAATTAGAGAAAAGGGAAGGAAGGAACCTATTCTATTTCCAATTGCAAAATTAAAGGAAAGGACAAAGAAATAAGTTGCTATTTGAAATAATTATTTAACCAGACCAGAGCTCAATTTTTGTGGTGTTACATAGTGCCTTCAAGCGTGGGTTATTGCTTGATATGGTTTGGTAGTCACTATATGCTAAGTGGTGGTAGTTTTGGCATCAGAGTCTACCATGTCCTCTCTTTGGATGCTCAATGTTGCTGCAGGAGTTTAGACCCACTAAAATGCCTGTGAGTACATTTCTTTTCTATTTGAGTTTCTTATTTTCTTCCTCTTTTTGCTTTTCGCTTTTCATCAGTGTTATACCAAGAATTATTAAGTCTCTTTTTTCCAACATCTATTTTTTCCTGAATCCATCAGCTATTAGGGTTTATGTAAGAATTATATATTGGGTTATGGTCAATTTCTGTTATAAAGTGATTTTTGAGGTTTAGAAATGATTGCCTTTGTGCATCCTTGATATTGGTTGGGACCCTTGAGTTTTGTTTCCTTCTGAGGTCAAGGTCCTTCCTATACCAAATGCCCCTTTTCTCCTTTCTGGAACATGCAAAAACCCAATTTGGTTTCTGTAGATTTCTGCAATCAAAATGGTTATTGATGGGGACTAAATATTGATTTTGTTTCCCAATCCAAGAATTTTTGTTTTGTATGACGCTATCTTTTAGCAGAAATGACCATTTTCGACTTCAGCTTGTTAAATTTCATGTTTCTTTTTCTTGATTTCTGAATATGTGTGGATAGTTATCTAGGATTTGTATTTTTTGTCCCTAAATTCAATGGAACATCTTTACTTTTTGGTCAGTCATTTTTGTTTCCAGCGTTGCTTTTCTTGCTTTAAGAATTGATGATAGTTGAAGCATAATTTATCTGCAAATTAGGTGCCCCAGCACCTCTCAGCAATTAGTGTGTTTCTGCTCAATTTTCCTTTGGATCATCTCTTAATTATCAGCCTTTATATAATGACATAATGTGTAGTTTTCTCATTCTTGGTAATTGGAAATGTTTTCAGTATTAAGGCATTGCTAGCTCTTCATCTCAGACAGTCAAAGTATGATCCCCTTTGTTTTTGGCATTGCCAAAGTGCTTGAGAATGTTGAATTTATCTACCAGGAAGAATTGACTTGAATTTCCATAAACAATGATATAATTCATTACTTACCAAAAAAGAATGATATAGTTCATATGCTATATATTCAATTTGTTGACTGTTAGGCCATTATAGCAGCAAGCTGTTGTTATTAGTGTATATGTTGTTCTTTTGTTTTTTTTGGTCATTGTGTATGTGTTGTTCAAGTGCTCATGTTTTGTTCATAAAATTTCATTGTCGATTTGCACTACGATCTGATTGTGAGTTTATTGGCTCATTGTTGTTACTTGGATTGAATAGATTTTTTTATTGGGAGGCGCATGTAGCATATTTGTTGACTTTCATTCACATAGAGTAACAAATACATAGAGTTGGATATTGAGGCAAGACAAAATTCACAGATTCACAATTAGACACAATTGCAAGTCTGTGTGAGTGGATTGTTGGGTCGGTTGAATTAGTGGTACGTTGAGAGTCTAATCGACACAAAGGAGTGTATATACAAGTTAAATGACCCATATCGAGTGTGCTTTCTTTATGGTTCTTTCAATCCTTTTAGTGGTTTTTAGAGAATGATTTTCTTTTTTCCTAATTTCCATTTTTAGTAATTTCAGTCATTAAAACTTTCGTTATTGTACTAAGAGTTACTATTCAAGTCGAGTGAAATTAGTATTTATTTAGGTGATAATATGACTTAATGAGGTCATTTGTACTAAGAGTTACTATTCAACTCGAGTAAAATTAGTATTTATTTAGGTGAGAATATGACTTAATGAGGTCATTTGGGATTTATCCCAATTTTTTAAAGTCATAAATCAACTCCAATTGACTTTATAACTTATCTTTTTGAATCACAACTAACTCCGATAGAGTCGTATTTACCATTCCCTTAATAATAATCTCTCAAACAATGTACAATATTCACTTTTTAGTCCTCTATCACATTACACATTTACTAAAAAAAACCCTGCCTTCACCTAAAGGCTTGGAGAGATGACCATCAAGGCCCCTTCTTCAACTTTCTCA